GACGGGCAGGGTGGCCCTGGCCACCTTAAGTCGGAGCAACCTGCAGCGACTGGCCATCGCCCAGTCCCGGGTGCTGATCGCCTCCGGGTACGTACCTACCCCGCGGGCTCTGAGCCTCCGTGCCCTCGCTGGGGGTGGGGGGCAGGGGGTGCCTGCGGGGCCTGCACTCTGGTTCTGACCACTAGCGGAGGGGACGGCACCAGGGTGTGGTGGGTGACGGTGGGCGTGGCCTGGGCCTGAGGTGGACTCTGGTTGAGGATGTGCTTGGGACTAGTCATGTGACCAGGGCAGGCCCCCTAACGGAGACAGCCCAGCCTGCTCTGAACCTGGCGGGAGACTGAAGGTTAGGGTGGCCCTGTAGGAAGAGCAAGAGGCAGCAAGCCCTGGGTGGCCACTACGTTCTATTCTCTGCTCTAGTGAGGGGGCTTCTATCACCTGATTCAGTGCCCACCACACCTCTGTGAAGGAGGAATGTGGACCCCACTTTACCCATGAGAAACGACAGGTTCACCTGCTCCGGGGTGGTGGCTGGTTATGCGTGAGACTGGGGCTTAAGTCTCCAGCGCCCAGCTCCCCCCACCCCCCTCCCAAGCAGACCACAGCACCTGGCACCCAGTAAGCACCAAATGAGAGCTCCTCCCAGCTCCTCTCCCTGGGAGTACCCACACTTTCGAGCATCATCTCGCACCTTGACACCCCGGGGCTGCTGCCTGTTCTGTTGCCAACACTTTTCCTGTTCATAGCAGTGAGACGCGGCTCCACGTGGTGCCTGAGCCGTCCTCCCTCCTCCAGGTCACCCTGGCTCTCCCTACAGTCCCAGAGTTCCAGGCGGTCAGAATGGTTCAGTCAGGCTGGACGTCCGAGCATGAAACTCAGTCTGCTGGGGGAGGGGGTGGGCTGCAGAGTGGGGGTTTGCCCCATCGAGCGCCCCCACCTCCTGCCTCTGCCACTGAGCTGTGAAGCGAGGGTTACTGTGCTGCCCTTGCTGGCCCCTGAAAACCCACTAAGGGGGTTCACCATGCGCAGTCACACCAGGCATCCACCTGTGCTCTCCCAGCACCTTACCTGGACTACAGGTGTGGTCACGGAGCTCAGAAGGAGCCCCCAAGAAGGACCACAAGGCTACAGAGTGGAAGGTTTAGTCAGATCACAGGATTTCATGGAACTTCCCAACTGGGGCATCTGGGCGGGGCCCCAAAGCTTGCTGTCAGGGCAGCTGCTGGGCTCCAGCGGTGCTGGCCGCGTGGACTGGGCACAGAGTGCAGACTGCCTGGGCGGGGACCCCAGCCCCTGCTGGGAATGTGGAGGCTGGCTCGCCTCTCTGGGGCCAGGAGCGGCACCTGGCTCATACCGTTCTGGTCATGAGAATTAAAGGAGGTATTCAGTGTTAATTTAGCACAATGCCTGGGACATGCTATGAATTCAGTCATGATCAGCTGCGTCTATTATTGCCATTGCCATTGTCATCATGATCACCAGGCAGCCAGTGAGTAGGCCCTGGGAAGCTGTTGAAGTCCAAACTGAGCAGAATCTAACACCCAGCCTCATTTGTGACGCCCAGGACCAGTGCCGAGTGACCCCTTTGCCATAGTCATGGGGGACCCCAGATCACTTTCCATCTCGGTGAGGGCGTGGTACCCCTTCATCCCCTCAGCATCACCTGCTGCCTGTAGACCTGGGGAGGTCTGGGCTCAACTGGGCCTGCAGTTTCAAAAGGGCTCTAGATCAGGCTGGTTTCTTCCCTGCCCTGTTTTTTTTTCCTGACAAGCCCCACCCCCCCACCACCTCTCTCAATCCTCCAGGCCGTTCCTTTTCACCTCTGGCACCTCCCTCACCCCCTCTACCATCTTCTCCTCCAGCCTTTCTTGCCCACTTAATTAGCATGCTTATTCCCTTTGTCTGACACCCCATCGACCTTCTGTCACGAATGGCCTGGCCCCCTCCTCTCTCTGCCCATGACCTCTCCCCGTAACTTTCCCACGGAAAAAAGGAAGCTCGGGGAGGGTGGGATGAAGGGAAGGGTCTGGGGGGGGAAACAAAGCGTTCTGTGAATTATTCAGAGACACGAGCAGGGGGCTTTTTAAGAGAGGAGAGGGGGCAGGGCCTTGGAGGGCTGGAGGGGCCCCACTGGCCCCTCCTCCTGGACGGAGCCTTCTCTGTCTTCAGCCAGGCTGAGGTTGCCTCAGAGAGAGGACCTTTGTTTGTGCAGAGATCCCTGGGCCCATCCAAGCTCCAAGAAAAACTCAGCTCCTCACCCTGGTATCTGTTCTCCCACCGTCCCCCAGGCCCGTCACCTTGCAACACTTCCTTTTTGCTTAGTTTCATGTTGTCGGGACAGAAACGAAAACTTGCCCCTTCCGTAAACTGGGGCGGCCCACAGAGTGGGAGCCAGGGTCTCCTGATGGTGGACAGCTTTGGCTGAGCCAGGCTTCCTGGGCCCCAGAGGAGGGTCAGGACCCACAGGGTGCGGCCGGGGCCTGCCTTCTCCGTGGGCTCCATTTCAGCTGGCAGTGGTGGGGGCGGGGGAGGGGTGCCCAGGTACTGCCCAGCCTGGCATTCAGAGGGCGCACTGCACAGCCCTGAGGAACGAGAACACTGGAATAATACATCAGGAAAGGGCTGTATGCAGCCCAACTTCCTCTTACAGTTGGGAGACAAAATGTAAACAATCACCCACATTTGCCCTGGGCTGGGTTATCTGCAAAGCATTCTACCCAGACCCAAAACCCTCCCTGGGCCCCCTGGGACAGAGATTTAGGGAAGCCCAGTTTTCAGACTGGGTGGGTGAAGTGCTGCTCTCCCAAGGTAGGCCTCCCCAAGGGGCAGAGTCAGGCCCTGTGGGGCTTGCTGGAAGGCAAGGTCCCTTGCACCACACCCTTCTGGATTGCTAGCCAAAAAAACAGCCCCCTCTCCAAACCCCTCTGCCGGCCCCAGCCTGGTGCAAGCCCTTCCGGGTGCAGCAGGTGCAGGACACACGTCTCCCACCACCTGACTAGTCCAGGGCACCTGACTAGTCCAGGGTGCATGAGAGGCAGACAGGGCCCCCCTCCTTGACCTTGCCCCCAGAGGCAGCCCAAGGGGATGGGGCGCTCTGGGGCCCTGGGCTGTTTCCTGGTTAACTAGAATGGGTGTGGAAACCTGCCAGTCCAGTTTGTGAGAACAAAGGTAGCTTTTGTCACCCAGATCGTAGTTACTTATCAGCAGGAGTGGGGGCCTTGGAGATGAAGCTGCGGTAGACAGGGGGTGGTAGAGAAGATGCGGGCCCCAGGGGGCGCGCTGCCCCCTGGTGGGGAGCCGGGGAACTGCCAGAGGCGGCGTCCCCTGGCCTCCTCACCTGAGGAAGGACACCCTGGGGAAGGTCCAGCCCTCACTGGAGAATCTGCTAGAATGGGGAGTCCCGGTCCTAGGTGTGGGGCTGGGAAGTCGTCCGGAAGACTCCCTGGCATCTTCTTATCCCAAACCCTCACGGTCCTACAGATAAGGAACTGGGGGCTTAGAAAAGTTGATGGAGTTTGTGAGGAGTTACTGGGCAGGACTGGTGGGTCTGGTGGGTCGGACCCAGTGGGCCCGGCCAGCGTGCAGGGTCAGGTCCGAGTCCCATTCTTTGAAAAAATATTTCCCCCACCCGTTGACCTTTCTCCCCCACCTCCTCTTATAGTATGTCACCGTGTCCAAATGTCCCCTGTGTAAATCTCCAGGCTTTGTCTCTGTGCTGCTCTTCTTGGCTGACTTTCTCTTGTTTTGTTTTCCGGCTTTCCCCTCCCCTTGTCCAGGTTTGATTTATCCTGGGGACAGTTTCTGAGGAAAAGAAGTTGTTGAGACACAAATACTCCCACATCTGTTGTTTCCACATTCTTCTCACAACCCCGGTGCCCCCGGGACGTCATCCCAGGGAGGGGGGCCACGGACTCAGCATAACCCAGCCTCCCCACTCCAAAGGGCATGTGGGGTCCAGAGACCCAAGGCTCCCCTCCCAGCCCTGAAGTGGGGGCTCACCCCTCACCCCACCCAGCTCCTGTTCTGTCTGTAGTGCAGGGTGATCCAGGATTGCATAGACCCAAGAGCACACCCCTCCCACGATGGTTAATCCACTGGGCTCTGGAGCCAGTTTTTCTGGGTTCAGATCCTTTACGGTGTCTTCATCAAGTTTGTTTACCTTTCTGGGCCTTGCTCCCCTGCCTATTAAAATGGGGTTAGTTGTAAGCATCCCTCCCCATGTGGCTGAAGGATCCCACTGTGTATCTCTGGTGAGCAGTAGAGCATGTCTGAGCCAGGGGATCCCCCCATATGGTAGGGAATAACCCAGGCCGACGGGCGGTCCTGCTCGCGCTGGGTCCTCAGCCCCTCCCCGAGCTCCGTGCACAAAGTAGGGCTCAGGGACCACCCTCTGAATGCACAGATAAGCAATCAACAAGATTACAAGCAAACTTCCCCTCTCCATTCCCAGGCCTCCAGGCACCTGGTGTCATCTGTGACCCAGTTCACATTCCGTCCAGCCCACTCTGCCACCCCAGCCCAGCTGTGAAGCCTGGGGGCAGGGAATGGAGCAAGACCCAGCCACGTGGCTCCCCAGATTTTTCTGGCTGGCTCCGTGGGAGGCCTGGCCTTTCCTAGGCAGCTGTGTCTTCTCCTTCCCAGCCTGGCTTAGGTTGCTGAGGAGAAGGACAGAAAGGGGAGGAGGCTTTGCCCGGTATTTATATTTCTCAGGAAGAAGGAGAAGTGACAGCTGTTGAGAGCAATGTTTCCAAGTAGAGACTGGCCACATCTGCCTCCTCACTGCAGAAGCTTGCAAAGGCAGAACTTTGGGTGGTCAGGTGGAGGTTCTGGTTTGGGCTTGGGGCTCCGTCTGTTAACCAGAGCCTTAGGTGACTCTGCCATACCTTTAGGTTCGAACTTGCCTTTTTTTCATTCCTTCAACCAATCCTGGTTGATTGCCTATTACAGGCTCTGAACGAAACAAAGATATTTGCCTTTCTAAAGGTTCAGTTCTGGAGGGCAAAGTCTAAGCACCACCTTTCTATAAAAGATGACACATTCCATCAGGTCAAAAAGAAGAAAAAATAAAGAGCAGGATCAGGAGGCTTGGGATGGGATGGTAGAGGAGACCGTCAACACCATGGTCTCTGTAAACTCACTGAGAAGATAAGATCTGAGTCGTGGCTGAAGGCGGTGTAGGAGGGAGTACGCAACTGTCCGGTGGAAGAGCATTCCAGGCAGAAGGAACAGCATATGCAAAGGCTCTGAGGCAGAATGCACCTGGCATTGCTCTCTCTAGGAGGGAGAGCTAGAGCAGAAGAGAGAGGTGGGCGATATGAGGCAGATGGGTGAGAGTGTGGCAGACTGTGCAGGGCTGTCTTGACCTTGGGAGGACTTTGAATGAACTGAGGAGCCAATTTGTGTGCCTAGGTTGAGTGGGGGAGTCCCACTGTTACAGAGCACCCCCAGGGGAACTGGGTTGCCTGTCTGTGGGTCCTCACCCACGCATATAAGATTCAATTGTACTGCAGGCAAACACAAAAAGGGTCAATGATGGGTTTATTTACAAAGGAAAAGTAAAGGAACAACCCAGGGAAAGAGAGAGAGAGACACACACACACACACACATACACATTAACTAGAGCATCCTACCAGTTCTGCTAACTTGGAACCCCGATAGCACAGTGAAAGCTGGTCAAGAGCCGAGCGACCAGCCACAAGGCCGAGGGAGAGAGAGAGAGTCACCCTCAGCTCTACATGGCTCCTCTGTATATCCCCCCAGAATCCCAAAAGGGCTGCTTAGCTCTGCCCTTGGGTCCTTGCAATCTTCCCTTTGGTATTGCTGGGAGTTGTAGTTTCGGTGACTGGAGTAGGGGTGGAGTCCACAAAACCTGTATCTGCAGACTTCATTCAGGACATCCTTTCCCCCTAACAACCATGTCACATGGGTTTGCTGTGTCACCCTGACTGCAGTGCTAAGAATTCGCTGAGTCTGGCCCTCCCTGGTGGCGCAGCGGGTTAAAACACAGCACTGAGAATCTAAAGCTGCTTCTGCATGAGTTCAATTCCCGCCTGCCCCAGAGGTGACCACATGGTGTGGCAGACCTCTTCTGACCCGCCCACTGCTCCCCTCAGCAGTGTACTTCGTCGATCTGCCTGTTCTGTTCCCCGCTCTGTCTCTGGTGAAGCCTCTCACCACCCCTGAGCCTCCGGCCTGTACCCCAGTTCTGTATGCACAAATAAATAAATCTTAAAAAAAAAAAAAAAAAGAATTCGCTGAGTCTTTAGGAAGGATAAGTAGTTTCTGCGAGGAAGGGGAGCCCCTGAGTGGGTGCGTGTGGGTGTCCTGACTCTGGCTCACTTTGTCCCATCGACCAGCATATAATGTACCTGCTCTGTGTTTCCACAGGGTCCCCACCGTGCCGGTGAAGAACCTCAACGGGTCCAGTCCCGTCAACCCAGCCTTGGCGGGTAAGGGAGCCCTGCACTGTGCTTGTGTACAGGGGCCACTCGGGAGTGGGCTTTCAAGGTGACCAGAACGCCACGTCAGTTAGGGGGACTGCAGGAGTTGGGTAGGAAGGACATAGGGAACATTGAGTGCTGAAAGCAGAGCACACCGATAAAAATACAGAATAAAGACAATTCTGGGCAATGTCCAGGGTCCATTCGTGGACATCCCACGAGTGGAGAGGACTCCGCTGGGAAGGAGGAGTACAGGGAAAGGGAAGGGAGGAGCCCAGGGCATGGGGTGCTGACTCTCTGGTGCACTCTCTGCCCTCCCCGCAGGGATCACTGGGATCCTCATGAGCGCGGCAGGGCTGCCCGTGTGTCTCACCAGGCCCCCGAAGCTGGTCCTGCACCCACCCCCAGTCAGCAAGAGCGAAATAAAATCCATTCCAGGGGTCTCCAACACAAGCCGCAAGACCACCAAGAAACAAGCCAAGAAAGGTATCCACCCCTTACCTTGTGGGGTGCCGGGAGTCTGGGGCCTGGCCCCAGCCACCCTGCCCAGGCCACACGGGGCTTCGCTCCACTCTTTCCATCTGCCTTTGCCGGTGGATTCTGCTAGAGGATGTTGATTGGGTGTGAAGGAGGCGCCTTCAGAAGTACAACATGTTGTGCAAAAACATACAAATAAACACATACAAAGTGGGGTGAATTCAGTGAGTCAGAGGTGAAGATCACCTTGGGGTTAGGACCAAGGCAGCCTGGATGCAGAACCCAGCCTGCTGCGTGCTGCTCCGTGGTCTCATCGTTCCAATGGGGTTAAACCTCACCATCGGGGCCCAGGACCAGCGGGCTTGCCCCGAAATGCGTCCCCCAGAGCCGCTGCTGTGGCCTTCGGAGCCCTCAGGCCCCCTGGGCACTTGGACTGTCCAGCCGGAGCCCCCCCTCCCCGCCCAGGCCCACAAGCCAGCACCAGGGCCCCGCCCTCTGGCACTCACAAGACGGGTGCAGCTCGAGTCTGCGGTCTGCTGCCTTTCTTGCCTCTCTCCTTTATCACAGCAAGAAAACGACGGGGCATCCCCAGCGTGCTTCAGTGGGATTGGCTGTTAAGTGTCGGGGCGTCATCCCAAAGCCCCCACCTTGCAGACTTGTGATGTAGCAGTTGGCTCACATGCGCCGTGCTCTGGCAATAGGTTTTCAGTAAATAGGAGCTCAGTTCTCTTAAGAGACACGGGACAGTGGGGAGGTTGGGGGTGGCTTCCTCAAACCCCTGCCCTATTTTCTAGTCATCACGAGCCTCCCAGGTTGGGGGTGGCTTCCTCAAACCCCTGCCCTATTTTCTAGTCATCACGAGCCTCCCAGGTTGGGGGTGGCTTCCTCAAACCCCTGCCCTATTATCTAGTCATCACGAGCTCTTGGCTGAAATGAACTCAGGGCCTCTCTTGCGGTCTGACAGGAAAGGGCGAGATGTGACACTCTCACCCGTGACTGCAACTGGCAGAGTGTGACAGCCTCCTTGGCTCCTTCATGGTCAAGGCAAGCCTGTGAGGCTCTCTTGCTCACCCCCTTTTATAGGTGAGGAGAAGGAGCTCGGGAGCTAAGCACCTCAGCGAGGCGCCTTTTTCCTTTGGGGTGTCCTTGTAAGGCCCTCTCATCCTCCCTCTGCCTGCAGCCTGGGCTGCCTCCGCCGGTCCCGTCCTTGAAGCATCTCTGGCGTCATCGACACCTGCCAGGCGCCCCCTCTCCCTGCTGCTGGTGACGGCACCAGCCACAGCTGTAGCCATCCCTTCCTGGGTGTCCCCCAAAAACATCATGCTGACACCTTCTAGGCTGAGGCCGCACTTTGCCTGCACCCATGCAGGCGGTGAGCCTGACCCCCCGTGTTCTATGGACCAGTTTCCAGAGGGCTTGGCTCCTGCAGCCTACCCTGCAAGAGGCCTCCAGGCAGGTCCCCCCTCTTAGGTTCTGTGGAAGAGAAACCCCCTCAACCAGTCAAACGTGGGTTTGTTGAAAATCGGCAGGAGGATGTTGGGGGGCAGGCGGGGAGCAAAGGTGAGCCTGTCCCTCTGTCCTCACACCTCCTCCCCCACCCTGCCCCATGGACTCCCTTGCAGGATGAGCTCCTGCCCTGTCCTGCCCTGGCTACCAGCCCCCTCGCGGACGCACCCAGCTGGCCGGTGCTGCCCACCCCTTCTCTGTCTTGGTGACCCTCTGCTCATTCTGTCCCCGCAGGTAAAACCCCAGAGGAAGTGCTGAAGAAGTATCTGCTGAAAGTCAGGCATCCCCCCGACGAGGTGAGTGCAGGGCAGACGGCCCGATTCCATCGCCCACAGCATTTCCTCTGCGGTCCTCCGCCCGCCAGGCATGCCAGGCGCTGCCCTCCAAGGCCGGGCGGTACAGAGCTGGTCAGCTCTGGTGTCCCCGCTCCAAGTTCACCCCCATTGCCGCAGCTGCAAGCAGAGCTCTCCCAGCTCCCCTTTCAGCTAACACGAGCTGAGCCTAAAGTACCTTCCAGAACAGTCTGAGCTCAGGAAGTCCAGTGTCCTCAGCCACAGGGCTGATGCCACACTGGGTGTGGTGTGCATTCGTGGTTCTCAGCCAGAGGTGGTGGTGCATGATCTGGAGGCCCCGGGGAGGGAGCCACCAGGGACCCCGAGGGGAGAGGCGGGGCTGCTGCTGGACACTGCTCAGGGCAGCACCCCCAGCAAAGCCGCATCCAACCCCGGGATGCAGAGTGCCAGTGTGGCGAGCCCCTTGTCAGTTTGCTTAAGTATCAGCAGCGGGCGCTCCCAAGGGCACCTTTGGAAGGTAACTCCTTGTTCTATCAGCGAGTCCTCATTTCCCCTGGACCACCGGACACCCCGGGAGAACATGGGGGTGCCAGCTCTGCAGGGGACCCCTGTTGTGTCCACTGTGCCACTTTACACGGTCACCACCAGGGACCAGTTCAGAAATTTACATAAAACAAGTTGAAAGTGTATTTCGGTTCTCAAAGGCCAGCGCCCTGCTGTGGAGGGCTCGTGGCCCCCAGCCCTGCGCTCCCCCAGGCCCTGTGTTTGGGCTGACCCCTGCTGACCCCTCCCCTCCCACCCCGCAGGACTGCACCATCTGCATGGAGCGCCTCACCTTCCCATCGGGCTACAAGGGCCCCCAGCCGACCATCAGGCCCGACCTGGTGGGGAAGCTGTGCCGCTGCGGCCACGTCTACCACATCTACTGCCTGGTGGCCATGTACAACAATGGCAACAAGGTCCGTGGCCAGGGGCCCGCCTGCATCCCAGGCCTGGTGCGGGAGGAGCGGGAGGGCTGGGGCCCCTGGGGGTCGGGGGGCCCCTGGGCAGTCCGGAGGAGGCGATGAGGCCCGTGGCTGCTGGGTAAGGCCAGGCCTGCAGAAGCATTTCAGTACACCCCTCTGGATTACCCCCTTGCATCCGGCCAGCAACCCAGTGAACCCTTGTGCCTTAAGGAAACTGAGACCCAGAGAGGTTAACTAATTTGTGCAGGTCACACAGCGGGTAGCTGCCAGTGGGAGTCGAGCCCAGCCAGGTTATGCAGCATGACAGTCCCACGCCCGGTGCTCAGTAACTGCCAGGTCCGGTTCAGTGAGAGGTCTTGGCACCTTTAGTTTCCAGAAGCTTCCAGGCGATTCTGATACTCGTGGTGGGGCACTTGCCACTCTCTGTCTAGTGCTTGAATGCACTGTTCCAGTGGGTAAGCGATTCCCTGCCTACACTCCCGCCTGGGCGGCCGTCTCCTTCCCACGGAAGCGTCTCCCTTAGCGTGGAGCATGGGGCTGTTTGTGGGATTTGCCACTTATTACTTTGGGGAAAGCAGAACTGACCGAGATCGCTGGGAAGTGGCGTGAGAGCCGAGGTCTGCTGCTCATGTGGGTGCATTTCCCCGCCACCCCCACCCCGGCCCTTTATTTCTAGTGTCTTTGGGGTTGGGTGGGGAGGGCTTTACCACAGCTGTGTCCCAGTCTGACTGTGTCCCCTCAGGATGGCAGCTTGCAGTGTCCGACCTGTAAGACCATTTATGGGGTGAAGACAGGCACCCAGCCCCCGGGGAAGATGGAGTACCACCTCATCCCTCACTCCCTGCCCGGCCACCCCGACTGCAAGACCATCCGCATCATCTACAGCATCCCTCCTGGCATTCAGGTGAGTCCTCACTGAGCTGGTGATGTTTGCTCTTTGAAGTGTAAATGTTTGCAGGAAGTGTGCTTTTCTTAGCCTGTTCAGGTTTCTAGAATAAAAACCCACGATCAAGGTGCTGGCAGAGTCCCGGTCAGGACAGGGCTTAGTTCACAGGTGTCTTCTTGTTGAGTCCTCATAAGGTAGAAGTGGTGTCAGGGTTCCGGGGTTCTTATCTGACATAAGTGAGCATCATTCTTTAGGTATTAAAATGGTAACTTTGCAAGGACACTAGATTTTAATCTATAGCATTTCCCCTGGACACCGCCCACCACCTACGTGCGTTTTGCATGCAAAATACATTCATTTCACCCCAGTAGTCCCCAAAGTCTTTCTTTAAAAAAGGTTGATTTCACTTATTTATGCATACAGGAACTGGGGTACAGGCCACAGGTGCAGTGGGTGTGAGAGGATTCACCAGAGACAGATGGGGACCAGATCAGGCGGGCAGACTGAAATACACTGCTGAGGGGAGCAGCGGGGAGACAGGAGAGGTCTGCTGCTCCTTGTGGGTCACCTCCCGGGGGGTTTGGGGGTGGGGTGTGTGTGAAGCTCAGGCCTCAGTGGCTGCTAGTAGCTTCTTTGTGCTGAGACTTAACCCCTGTGCCACCAAAGAGGCCCCAGTTCTCAAAGTCTTGACTCGTTTTAGCATCAACTTTAAAGTCTAAGTCTAAAGTCCTGTCTAACCCCAAAGGAAACATGCGCGCTGTGTTTATTGCAGCGCTATTTGTAATAGCCAAGACATTGAAACAACCTGAATGTCCCCAAAAAATGATTCAGAAAAATGGGGTCTATAGATATAATGGAACACTACTCAGTGATCAAAAGAGATGAACTCATGCCATCTGCAGCAATATGGATGGAGCTGGAAGGGAATGTGTAAGTGAAATAAGTCAGAAGGAAAAAGAGAAATATCAGATGGCTTCATATATGTTCATCTATATGTGTGTGCGTATATAAACATACGCAGAATGTGGAATATAGAGAAATTGAACAAGGGTCAGGAAAAAGACAAAATTTGCAGGTCGACCACAGATCTAAGACTTACAGCAGGGAAGAAGGAGGGAAAGGGATCAGAACAGAGGCAGGAACTATTCAGAGAGGGGTCACAGGTGCTGTGGTGGTGGGAGAACTATGGAAACACACCTGAAGAGAAGCCAAATGCAAGTCAGATCTGGGTGAGACTCAAGACTGATTCATCTTGAATCAGCAGTTCCTGTCCAGACACGAACCTGTGAAACCAAACGCAGGACCTGGTCACCCCCACCTGGCCCTGAATCTCCCTGGATCTTGGACTTCCAGTCTCCAGAGCTGGCAGAAATAAATTTCTGGTGACAGAAAGCCACCCAGTCAATGAAAGGTCGTCACTGCCACCCAAACTAAGAAAACATCCTCCTCTGAAAAGTCTCCTTCCCTCCCTGGCCACCCCAGCCCACAGCCCAAAGCCTGCTTCTCAAGGACCCTCCAGGCTTCTTTGTAGCCCGGGAACAAAGACCGCATGCACCCCTCCCGTTTTTACACAAAGAGGGGCCCATCAGACACACATGGCCCTGTACCCGGCATTTTTCAATCGACAATATCATCTGTGGATCGTTCCTTCAGTGCAGAAAGCACTTCCTCGTCTTTCTTAAGTTGGCCCAGTAATCCACTGTATAAACGGACCGTCCTTTATGTTCAGCTGACCCCCTTTGACAGGCATGTGGATTGTTTCCAGTCTTTTGCTGCAGTAATAATGCTGTCATGAATAACCTTGTATGCATGTGAGTGTGTAGAATTATTTGCTACCAGTGGGATTTCTTGGTCAAATGGTATTAGCATTTGTTATGTGATAGATATTCCTTGGCTGGGATTTTTGTGGGCATTTCTTTTCTCTTTAGATTCTTTGAAACACAGTCCTGAGAAACAGACCGAATACCATTCCTGGCAGGAAATACAAATGTGTCCCTGCCTTCACACAGGAAGCTTTTTTTAAAATGTTCTAGGGTGTTAATTGGATTCATTTATTTAGCAAATATTTATTATTTCACCCTCCGTTCCCCTCCTCCTTGCCTGTTCTATTTAGTCTCTAAGTTAACAAACATATCTGAGTGTGGATTATGAGCTGGAGGTGTGCCAAGTGCTCTAGACACAAGTGAGCACGAAGGGCAGAGTCCGTGGCTCCCAGGACTCCCATTCTGGTGGGACAAGAATAGACAATAAAATAAGTCAACGAACAAGGTACTTCCAGACGTGGGAAGCAGAGTGGTGGTGATAGCCTGTAAGTGAACGGGATAAAACAATAAGGTTTTCTTGGAGGGATTTACCAGCCGGTCAGGGAAAGATGGACCTGTCTCACGGGCGGAAATGAGGGCACCATGGTCAAAGCCGCGGGAAGCTGTAGCCAAGGACACAGCCCTCCACGGTCTGAAGGGGCAGCGTCCTGTTCCTGGCTGACCCCTTTCTAGCTGGGGACTTTGGATGTGCACCTGCCCTTGGGAGCTTGTTGTAAGCCTGCACAGCTTCCTCTGTGCTCCTGGGACCCCAGCCTGTGGGGTGCAGGGGTCTCATCAGGGTGGGCGACTCGATCCTACCTGTAGATATTCTGGTATCCGGCACAGTCCCGAGGGGCCCGATTCCTGGGCCCCGTCACCACGGAGCCCTGCCAGCCAGGTCAGGAAGGGGGCTTTGATCACCTGTCTGGGAGATGCACACACATCCTGAGTAGGGCCCTGGGTAAAGGGCCAGGAAAGACAAAGAAATGGGGGGGGGTGTTTTCTAGGGCACAGCTGAGTTATAGGGGAGAAAAAGCAGAAGTGTGGAAGGACCACAAGAGGAGCTTAATTTGGTGTGAAGGTCGGGTTTTCAAGGCTGTTTCTCAGTCCTGCAAGCAAGCTTGTGCTTCCTGAGGAGTCAGACTGTTGAGCTCTGCCCTCACTGCAGAGAGCGATCCCCTGGGGGAGCTCTGAGCTGGGCCTGCAGAGTCGTGACTGCCCAGCTCAGAAGTCGTGCTGACAGCCACAGCCCGCTGGGCCAGGGCCAGGCTGGCTCGAAGAACAGGCAGAGCTGCAGCCGGCTCGCCCTCCAGCCAGGCCTGGCTGGGAAATAATTGTGGCCTTGAGAGTGTTATCAGCGTGGAATGATTCTCCGTGATGTGAATTCAGAGTGGCGGAGTCCTGCATCTCCAAGAGGACAGACACACCCGCCTCCTTCAGCCCCCACTCGCCTGGCCTGGCTCACAGAGTCGTAAATGACCTCGAACCCTGCTACTGAAAAATTAAATGCATTTTTTAAAAGATTTATTTATTTATTCATACAGAACTGGGGCACAGGCCAGAGGTGCAGGGACAATGAGAGGCTTCACCAGAGACAGAATGGGGAGCAGAACAGGCCGACTGACAAAGTCCACTGCTGAGGGGAGCAGCGGGCGGGCCAGGAGAGGTCTGCTGCAGCATGTGGTCACCTCCGGGGCAGGCGGGGATCGAACTCATGCAGAAGCAGCTTTAGCTTCTTAGTGCTGTGCTTTGACCCGCTGCGCCACCAGGGAGGGCCCAAAAAATTAAACGCATTTTTAATCGTGAGTTTGTCAAAGATGCCACTGGGCCCATTCTGGAGCCTGGTTGAGAAGTCTGGTTTTGTACTGCATTCTATTTCAGTTTCTTTCCCCCCGCCAGATGAGTGGGGCTGAAGGAGGTGACCCACATGGCGCGGCAGACCTCTCCTGTCTCCCCACGGCTCCCCTCAGCAGTGTTTTTCAGTCCATCTGCCTGTCCCCTCTCCAGAAATATTCTGAGAAATAACCTTTGTTACTTTGTTATATTTTCCCCTTCTTCTTTCAGGGCCCAGAACACCCTAATCCCGGGAAGAGTTTCAGCGCCCGTGGCTTCCCCCGACACTGTTACCTTCCCGACAGTGAGAAAGGGCGAAAAGTGAGTGTGGTGGGCGGGGTGGAGAGCCTGGCAGTCCCAGCCCCGCCCTGCACTGGCTTCTGTGCCCACACATCCCGCTCTGATGGAACTCACCTCCCTGGCCTCTGATATTCGGCTCTCACGCAGCCTCCCTGTGCTGATTCCCACTTAATCCCAGAGGACGCAACCTCGGGCATGGCCCAGGCAGACCCCAGGCAGACCCCTGCGCGGTGGCTGTTTGAGCAGGACAGGTCCTTTTCCCTCATCAGCAGGAAAGGGGCCACCAGACCCCCTGGGGCCCGTCTCATCCAAGTACATTGCCCCCCACCCGGCCACCCCGGTGCTGAGCCGTCACACACAGGCGCTGGAAGCCGGACTGTGGTGTGCACGGTCACTGCGTGCTCCCCACCTCAGGCCCAGCCACGCTGACAGGCGTCTACTCTGAGCCAACAGCACCAGTCCCTGGGTTCTGGCTGAGGCCTGGAACAGCATGCTAGGCATTTGCTTTGTTCAGCCAACATAACCAAGTCTTAGCTGCACTAGAACGTTCTGCAGACCCAACACTCCCTGGGCCTTACCCGTAGAACAGAGCAGTTCCTCACCAGCTCATCCTGTGGGCGGGTGACAGCCCACCAGGGGGTAGATGAGAGGCGCTGTGTGGGAGAGCAGCACCAGACTCAGGTGGTGGAGGAGGACTCAGCCTCAAGAGCGCTCAGGCACCAGGCCGGGGCTCCCGGCCCAATCTAATCAAGGGCAGCCCTCGTGTCCTTGCTGGCTCACGACTGCAGAGCCAGGCACCCTAGGAAAGGGCTTTTCAGTGTCCATGGAATGCTCACAGCCCGCCAAGGCAGACTACCACTGCCATTTATGATTCAGGAAAGCCCAGAGAGGTGAATTCACTTGTCTGAGGTCACACAGCGAGTCAGTGACCGAGCCAGCACTCAGCTTATGGCTCCCGGCCTCTTCCTGGTCATGGTTTCGCTTCAGGGCATCCTGACCCGGGAGGGCACACCCTCCCCAGGGAACAGTCGCTCACTGGCACGCGTGTCTGCCTCTGGTCTCCCAGGTTCTGAAGCTGCTGCTTGTGGCCTGGGACCGCCGCCTCATCTTTGCCATCGGTACCTCCAGCACCACGGGCGAGTCGGACACCGTCATCTGGAACGAGGTCCACCACAAGACGGAGTTTGGCTCTAATCTCACTGGCCACGGCTACCCCGATGCCAACTACCTGGATAATGTGCTGGCTGAGCTGGCTGCCCAGGGCATCTCTGAGGACAGCACCGTCCAGGAGAAGGACTGAGCCGGAGGGGTGACTGGTGGGAGGGACCGTGGGGACCACAGGATAGGAAGTGGGCAGAGTCGAGGTGGCAGCGGGCCCATGCTCCTGACTCCCTCCTCTCCCCTCCTGTCCTGTCTCTGCCCTGCTCCCACCGCAAGGGAGCCAGACTGAAGAAGATGACGTCACTCAGACTGAGGAAGGTGACATCACTCATAAGCCTCATCCGACACAGAGGGGCGGAATGAGGGTGCTCCGCAGTCTGCCCCCATGGAGCTTTCAGTGCTGGGTAGGCAAGAACCCCCAGCCCTCTAAGGAGAGGGCACGGTCAGCACATTTGGGGTATGGGCAGTGCTCGGGCACCCCATCCCTGGCCTTGTGAAGCCTGAGGTTTGCAGCCTCAGCTGCTTCTTGCTGCTTCTACTCTGCTTTGAGAGCAGAGTTCCTGCTATTCTCTCCTCTGCTGGAGGTGAGGAGCTCTCACTGTGCAAGGTTGGGGGGCAAAGGGGTGAACCGCTCAACTGCTGTGACATCACATATTGATGTCGGGGATACAGCAAGGAAGCACTTCTTGCCCGGAGGGCCGGCAAAGCTGGGGTCCCTGGGGGCAGATCCAGCTCTCGAAATAGCCCTTGGCCTCTGCCCCACCCCTCACCCCTGACCTGGCCAAAGAGGCGTCTGGTTCTCCTGTGCGGGTGGGTGGGCTCTGGGGTGCCTCTTGGGGCGGCCTCCCTCAGGCCCCACTCCTCTGATCAGACCAGAGCCTGCATCCCACTTAGCATCTGAACTGTCCTCAGGGAGAGGAGCCCTTAGCCTCCCCAATGCACCCCAGACCAGCTCAAAGATTCCACGAGTCTCATCAGTCACTGTGAGTGGGGCCCTGGGGCTCTGTGCTACCTGTGTCTGTGTGTCTGTGTGTCTGTGTGTCTGTGTGTGTGTGCACGCGCACTCCATGGGGCCAGGCTGGTGGGGAGACCCATCATGTGCCTGCCCCTCTTTTGCAAGATGACAAACCCCAGTGTTGATGGGGTCCGCGAGACAGGCTGTGACCTTCGGCTTCCTTACCCTTGGCCAGTTCATCCTGTGGTAAACTGGACCCTGATGGAGATGGAACTGTGCCTGGGGAGATGTGTAAGCTGAAGGCTGACTGGCCCCTGTTACAGCTTCCAGGCTGGATCTGAGTCAACCCCCGGCCAGCCTGTTTTCTGTGAGGGCTTCAATCTGTCTCCATGCAAATGTGCTAATCAGAGCCCAGGATGGTGCTGGGCGCAACCCCTCTGGGTACATTGACCTCGGGGTCCAGGACCCCTCCAGCTCCCTCCTAACTGGCTGGGGACCACCTTGTCCCACCTGCCCCTGGGTAGTGTTCCAGGACCCAGCCCATCCCCTCCCAACATTTTTCTTGCCTTCTTCTCCCCTTAGGCGGTTAATTGGGGGTCAGGGAGGAGAGAAGGGGGGTCAAGAAGGGGAAGCCCACCTCCCCCTTGGAAAGTGGGTTCTTTGAACTGTGTGTTTGGGGGAAGTTCCCCTGGATACTAATTTGAATTTATATACCTCATGTTTTGGGGGTTTGGCGTATATATATGCATATATATATGTGTATATATATCATAATATTTGGAAGGTTTTTGATGTTAGAAAAATTGAACTAAAGAACCTTCAAAGATGGTACTTAAGTGAGAAGGACCACACCTTCCTGAGTGCCGGCTCGGGAGCCCGAGGCCGGCAGCCATTTTGATGTCCGTGTGCCCGGTGGGTCTCCCGTGGGGAGCGTGGGTGCGCCCTGTGCGTTCTCTCCTCACCTAGTGAGGGCGCTGAGCCTCTCCTCGCTTCCCAAATGGCTAGAGGTGGCTAACTGGCTCAGCAGAGGGAGCTCTGATGGGAGGACTTCTCCGGCCATCTTAATTCTAGTGTCTCCTATCAGCAGGCAGCCATTTTATCTCACCAGCAGGCCAGGAGCTAGGGCCTGCTTCACTGCGCCCTGGGGAGGACTGCCGCGCCCTGGGGATGACCACCCCCCCCCCCCGGGAGGACAGCCTTGGACCCAGTGGGAGCTCATCCCTCCCTGCAGTGTTTGTCAATGCCCATGCCCTTTGCCAGGCCACCAGAATCCCCTGGAGCGTCTCATTAAGGCCTGGTGTCAAGACCCAGCCTCTGGTCTCCTCACCGCAGGGAGGAGCAAATGGATTGAGACTGGGGAAAGATGCGCTGCAGTTGGCAGTAGGGACAGGCAGAGGATGAGCCTTGACAACTGGCAGTGGGCAACGGGCACAGGCTGGTTTTCCTGCATCAGGCAGGACAAGGGTGGGGAGAGGGACAGGAGAGGACTGGACAACATACGGGCAGGCAGTGGGCTGGGCTCCACCACCCGGGCGCCATCTTGGTGTCCTCAAGCCTCTCCCACAAGATGTCAGTTGTGTCTGTGTCCACCCCCCCCTTCCTCTTTGAGGATGCTCGGTACGGTGAGCCTCGTCCTTGGGCTGCTCTTGTTAGGGGGTGTTCTGTGCAGAAGGGATCCTCAATTTCCTAACACTGTGCCAGGTGCGCTTGGGGGAAGGGAGGGTTCCTTTGTCCCTTGTCTAGTGCAACCTGGAAAGGTGCAGTCTCGGTTGGCGAGACCCCCGCCCGCAGGAGCCTCAGCCACGTCTGTCCACCAGAAGCCCGGCTGTGTCCCTGGCCCGGGCCTCTCCCTCACTGTCTTGGCACCAGCAGCCTCCTCTCTCCCTGAGTCTCCAGGGATGACAGATGGGATTGGAGACAAACCCTGTCAGATGCTCATCCTTTAAAAGGTTAATTGTGTGTTTGTGGTTGTGTGTGCCTTCGTGTCTCCATTCCCCCACCCCACCCCAATTTTGTAAAACTTGGACTTCTCTGTGGTTTTATAGTCAAAAGTGCGCGTCCTGGTCAGCATTGTTCTGCGCGTGAGGGGCGGGGAGGCTCACGCAGCGCAAGAAGGACCATGTCCCCTTTCCTGTCCGCCGGCGCTGGAGAGGGGATGGGCAGTGTTGTGGGAGGCAGGGGTGAGGTGCTGAGGAAACCCTCTCTGTAACCGCGGAGCCCAGGAACCCGGAGCCGCTCTGAGAGGATATCGCCACCTGGTGCCCAGGAGGTGTGCGTGCAGAACAATAAATGGCAAATGAACACCCACACCCTGCGGATGGCCTGTTTTTGTAGAGGGGCACCTGCCTGTGAGGTATTTGGGGTTATCAAGCACAAACCGCCCCACTGGAGGGGGGGGGGTAGTTTCATTTTTTTTTTCATTTCTTTTCCACCCACATTGACCAAGGGACTAAAGAGGACATTTTGTTCCTCTAAGAAACAGACCACATGGCCCTCCCTGGTGGCGCAGCGGGTTAAAGCACAGCACTGAGAAGCGAAAGCCACTTCCGCATGAGTTCGATTCCCGCCTGCCCCGGAGGTGACCACATGGCGCGGCAGACCTCTGCTGACCCCCCGCTGCTCCCCTCAGCAGTGTACTTCGTCGATCTGCCTGTTCTGCCCCCCACTCTGTCTCTGGTGAAGCCTCTCACCGCCGCTGAGCCTCTGGCCTGTACCCCAGTTCTGTATGAATAAATAAGTCTTAAAAAAGAAAGAAAGAAAGAAACTGACCACATGACAGGTGAAATAAGAAAAATCAACTCATAGGGGAAAGACCCTCTTAAAAATTGCAAATGTTTGCTCCTCCAAGTTCCTACCACCTGATCACAACATTGTGTGCGTTTCAGTATCTTGCAGGCTGTTGTTTTTCAAATAAGTGTTTAATCCTAATTAATCCAATACTACTTAACCCCAATATGAATTAATCCCAATATTAATAAGAATAGAAAAATAAAATGCAAATGCTGATCCACTTTTGTCACCCCAAAGTATCTCTCTTATTCATAGGTCACGGGCTGGGGTTTCTGGAAACCAGGTTAGTCTCCGCAGCCCTCCCACCCCTACCCCCCTACCCGACTCACCAGTGAGGAATGGAGGATGCAGACAAACCCTCATATTCTTGATTTCCTATGGCTAAACCGTCAGTCAGATTGTTCCTTAACTATCCATATTAATGCCTATGTATGTGCAAGTGTGTTAGGAGAAAGATAAGACAACATAAGAACTTTTTATTTCACTGGGTAGTTAATACATTGGAAGTCCAGGGACCTCAACAATTCTTTGTCTTTCTGACTGAGAAATCTTCAAAAAAATTCATGGCAAAATCATTATTTGCAGAAAAGTGGTTAGGTTGGCTGAAACACACCCACCAAACACCCAGAAGTGGAGGAGAATATTTTCCTGCGTCAGAGGCGGTGTTAGTGGCATGGTGGTTGAAATCAGGGTCCCTATCTGGGCAAACAGAGAAGCGACTCAACTTCTGTGATTCAACTCTCAGTGGGAGAAAGACTGGCTCCCTAGTTTTAATTTTCTCAAAGGCTGGAACACTCCAAGCTTCTCAAAAAACCTATTGTAAGCCTAAGCTTGTGAACATGAACCTTTAGAGAAGATAAATCACTCGAGTTTTTTGATTTGGTGAAGAAATAGATAACTTTTACAGACAATAAGGCGGAACATTAGCAGATTCGTACTGATAATAATTATCTGAGCCTGATATAAAAATGCACTAACCCCCAAATGTTGGGGGACCCCACGAAGGACTCCAGGGACATCAGCTTGGACAGGAAGTAGAAATGTCACCAAATGTGTTGATGACTTTCTCACTTCCTTTAAAAATACGGATTTGAACATGCCAGTTGCCTGTCTGCTGGAAAAAATAAAAGCAGGTCTCTAATCGCTGTTTTCGACTCCATTTTGGTTTCAGGGAGGAAGTAATACTTAGGTGTGGACTTATTTTGACTTATTGCTTTTTCCTTTGTCTTTCAGTCCTAGAAAAATGCTGGAATAGTGTATGTGTGTGTGTGTGTTTGGTGGGGGGACAGGAAGGTAAGTTCCACTCATGGAAGAGGAAGGGGTTGTTCTTGGGTGACAAACAGCAGGAAATTATAATGTGTGTTGCCCAAGTCCTTCTTGTGTCCCATTTGTGATGAACTAATGGAAACTAATGGGTCAGCAAGGTCCAGCTGACCCTTCAACCACATGGTTCGACCTGCGCAGGTCCAGCTACAAACAGGTATTTTTCTACTCTGAGGTTCTGCAATTCCTGGGAGTGGTTGAATCCCTGGGGACAAAGGACCCACTAAGAGGCACTTGAGCACCCACAGATTTTAGGGTGGGGATCCTGAAATCAATCTCTGGGGATACCAAAGGATGGCTATCCTTGAGCTTGGGGGAATCAAAAGTCATCCTCAGGTTTTCAACGGGGGTGGAGGGTGGTGCCCCTAAGTTCCTTGTTAATCAAGGGTCAACTGTACTTGGCTGTGGGGAAAAATTCCAATTTCCCCTGAGCACCAGAATCTTTCTTCGTTTACTCATACTTCAAAACCATCCCTTCTTTTGAGCTCCTAAAAAACACATACATATAAGTGAAAATAATTTCTGAAAACTTTATGGGTGTGAAGTTCAAGAGTGGTCTGTTCTAAATAAGGCTTGGTGGTGGGGAAGTTGAATATGGTGACTTTGAGCATCTCTGCTCAGATGATGTCAGAGAACACAACTCAGCAACACGGGGCCTCAGAGTGGCCCCCAGGACTTCCTGTCTCTCCTGGGAGCTCTGCTCCCTTCTAGGAGCAGAGTGCAGATATAATTTGTTTTCAACATCAAAACAGTGGGAAGGCAACATTTAAAAGGCAGAACTTCTTCCAGCTCTTGCATCAGAAACAGACACCAGCCCTGGCTTAAATGCATATCCCGCCAGTCCCAATGCCAACACTTAGAAGAATGTCACTAGAGAGGTGCATGGAGAAAAGATACCTTATTTAATTTCAGTGCAGAGGATGAGTGTTCCTTAAAATCCCCAGGAAGCTTTCTTAATTTCCTGTCCCAGAGACCTAAGCAAGTCACTAAGTTGTACCTGATTTTTGTTATACATGCAATTTCAGTCCCTAAGAAGGCAGAGTGGAGAGAGACATTAAAGCTGTGCTAGAAGCTCTGGCTGCAGATGGACAGAGAGGCTGGGAGATTCAGGCTGGACACGGGTCTTGCCCTTGATCAGCACCGTCTCCATGGGTGGCAGCTCCCGGAGCCAGACTCTGCCTGTCATCCTGGATGGTCTGGTAGCCCCTTTTCTTGTACTTCTGGATCCTGTAGATGACCAGCAGGGTGACCGATGCCAGGGCCGTTATGACCCCCACGGTGACGCCGACTGCTGCTCCAGTCGACAGGCCGCCCGCGCCCTCATGGATCACGGTCAAGGTCCGGCGCAGCTCCTGCGGCTCCCCCAGCTTCCACTGGTGGGTCTGGGCATCTTTGATCCAGGAGCTGGCGGTCTCGGGGTCCGTGACTATGACCGTGTTGGTGGCGGCCTGGCTCATGAGGGGCGGCCGGGTGTAAGGCGGAAGCCTGGCGGGGGGCAGGGCCGCCCCAGTGAAGAGCCCCGCCTTGACGCAGTACAACACCTGGCAGCCATCGCTGATGAGGGCGAGGTGCTGGCTGAAGCCCCCGGGGCACTTTTTTAGAGAAGGGGCCCCTAAATCTTTGCCTGTGGCAGGGTCCACCAGGGGGTTCCCAACAGTACAGCTAAAGAATCCACCGAACGGGACCGAAAATCTATTCCCCAGCTCATAGTCCTGGGAGACACATACCTTGAGGCTTTCGAAGAGTCTCAGAGGAATATAGCCAGCTGGACACGACTGGGAATTTGTCAGAGGGTTTATGCTCTTCTCGCTAAAGAGGCCCCCAAAAAGGAGCCCAGAGTGTTCCGGCACTTGGCTGGTGGCCACGCACCAGAAAGCCCTGAATTCAGCCTTGGCCACCCGGAACACGTCCTCACACACGGTCTTGCAGAAGATGCGGAGGGTGCACTTGCGCTGACACTCGAGGTGGTTGTAGCCCATCTCCTGGGTCTGCGACAGCAGACGCACAGGTGCATAGCCCGAGGGGCAGGAGAAGGCGCCAGTGAGCGGGTTCTTCTGCTCCAAGGTTTGGCAGAGCTGAACCACGTCGCTCCCTGAGAACTGGGTGCATTCCTGATAAACCCCCCCAAAGGAGAAGTTGGTCATCTTCCCCTCGCAAGAGCCATCATCGGTATTGGCCTCAAAATTGAAGTTGGGCGAATTGACATCCGTGCAGCCGGGGTAGGTGTTGAAGGCGTAGTAGCGTCTCACGGCGCCTTCCACCGTCTTGGACAGCTTCTTCACCAGGGGGCCGGGCAGGGTGGGCAGCAGGTCGGGGTTAATGAAGAAATGCAGCGGCAGCCCGATGCGGTCCATGGCCACCAGGTGGTTTTTGATGCCCTCCTGCCAGGCCTTGAGCGTGATGCCTGGGTAGAAGGGAACCCCTCCCAGGCTTTGCACCCTGGAGTTGGTGCGGTTGGAGAGGTAGTTCTTGGTGAAGGCATCCTGGAAAGCTGACTTCTCCTCCAACTTGGAGTTGATGATGTTTTGGAAGGTCACTCCCGCGGACGAGGATATGGCACGGTGGCTGCTCTGGCTGTCCTGCAGGAAGGAGCTCCTGATGTAGTCCTCCTGGATGAGGGCAGCCCCCGCGTCCACACTGGTGACCACGTGGGTGCCATAATTGAGGACCAGAAGCTCTGCCAAGTAGGTGGCCATCCGGGTCTGGTTGTTCTCCAGACGGTCGGAGATACTCATGAGCTCCTTCTTAAACCTCCAGTTCAGCCCCGAAGTGGGGTTGATTTTGGCCGTGTAGATCAGGTTTCTTACCTGAACCCGGGTCATAATGGCTTGGTTCTTCACTTGGAGAGTCTTCATCCTCTGGAACTCCACGGAGAACTTGCCATTGACTTTGGAATAAAGAGAGAGCTCCAAGTTGATGGAAGCGGAGGTGCTGCTCTGGTAATTCACCCAGGAATCCAGGATTTCTGAGTTCATCTCCAGATTGCTCTGTTTCTGGGGAGTAGTGAAGATTTCATCAGGGATGATGTACTGTCCATCCTCCGTGGTCCTGCAGTTGGTGTAAGTCAAGTTCATCACGGGACCCATGTCCACATTCCGCAGGTTATCCCAGCCTCCTCCAGGTAAGACTTCCAGAACAGGGACTTTCAAGGCATCCTTGCATTTTTGAAATCCAGCATCATCCTGCCCCAGCGATGGGTCCGTGAAAGCCCAGGCTGCTAGTATGCAGAAGACAGAGGTGCCCCCGAAACTATTCATGGTTAGACAGCCGCAGTCACACGCCAGCCCCAAGCAGTGGCCAGTGAGCTTGGTGCCGACTGAACAGATGGGAAAGCATGCAGTTGCTGAAAAAGAAATTTCAGCAGTTCTCCTAATGTCACCAGTTCCTCTTTAGACTAATCTTATTGCAAAAGAGGGAAATGAGAACTGACTGGAATACTATGGTCTATCAGGTCTTGGAAAAAATCAAATTGTACTAGACTTGCAAACACAGCTCTGTCTCCTGAACAGCTGACAACACTAAGTACCCGCTGCCCCATCCCTGGGCGGGGTCACTCTGCAACCCTGTGAGGACTCTCAGCAAAAGCGTGACCATGTGCCTCCCTCCAAGGAAGCTTTCTGACTTTAGCAGAAGCCTTTGATGTTGCTCTCTGTTAACTCTCTTAGATCTGATATCTGAAATTTTCCCAGAATGCTCTCTGCATGCATTTCCATACCAGCTTCTGTTTATTCAAATGCCAGAGAGAATGGTACACCCCCTTACTGAGACACCCACCTCCACCATCTCAGCTAACCGTACACCAGGTGGAGGCCGGGGCTTCCCATTCACCCAAGCGTAACCGTTGTTCACATAGGAGAGAGGAGTAAACATTTTAGACAAGCGTCCCATGGGGTGTTGTAGTGACGCATCCTTCTGGGCAGGGCGGAAGCCACCTGGAGAGGTTTCCATGTGTCACACGGAGGTTCATCCACATCGGCTTCCACCTCTGTGTCCAGGTCAGGCCCCCACTCTGGCAGGGATCCCGTTCAGAGAGACAGACAGGTTCACGCTAGAAGAAAATCCACATTAACTTCAAGGAACAGGCGTAAATGTGTACACATTTTCACGGCCTCCGTGTGTGTGTGTGTGTGTGTGTGTGTGTGCAGTTCATATGTTGATACCTGTTTAGGTTTTCATTCTTTGTTAGGTGTGTGTATTGAGCATGGAAGCATAGAAAAGGAGGTGGTCCTTATTCCTCTAAGCAATTCATTTTTCACTTCATCAGAGGACTACGATTCCATGAATTCCCTTTTGTGTGCTAATGCTGGGCCCAGTGGAACCCAAGGTCTAGAACAGTATTCCCAAGACCATTGGTCTAGGCCTAGGGTTCACTGAGGCCCAGCTCTGTTAATTCCTTGGGACAATGAGGGTGTGGCTTAGCTCCCTAATTGGTATCCAGGGGAATTAATGAAGTTCTGAGGTCATCTTTATGAAGTCTCCAGAACATACATGGGCCAGATGCAGACCAAAGCTAAACAAGTCCTACTCAATCCACAGGTATTGCTACAGCATCACCTGGAAAGAAGGTTTCAAGGAACTGGGTTGTTCCCACTGTCACTGATGCAACTGACAACTGTTTTAAGAAACAATGAGACCAGTTACCTAGCTTTACAGTCTGAGCTGCTCTGTTTACTATGAACAACTTGATGGTGTTTTATAAACCTGGAGATATTTATAGTCATCTACGCACATCTCAGTATGCTTCAAGGAGTTTACTTAAACTCAAACAGGGTGAAGTTATGAACCAGGGTCCTGTTTGTGCTTGGCTAAGTCCACTCTGCACTGGGTGTCCCGGTTAATGTACAAATTAGTTAGTTACAAATTTACCTCTCAGTAGAATGATCCTAGAGTTAGATAAATGGGAGTTGAATTAAGTGCTTCTGGTCAATCTGTTGCCACACACTTCTCCAACTCTTACAGGGCTAGTTCAACAGAATCAGAAAAGCCACGCTGCTTTGGAGACACGCTCAGGGTCTCTGACTCTTGGTTTCCCTTTCACAGACCCTGCTGAGTCCTCTCCTCTGCGATGAGAAGGTGAGCAAGGTGTTGAGAAGATTGCCTAGGAGTTCCAGTATCTCTAAAACCCACTGCCATTTCTCTTTCTTTTTTAAATAATATAAAAGTTTACTTTTACATCACTTTGTGCCTTTTCCATCTCAGCTGTCATCCCCGTGGGTTTCCCATCACTATATCACTCATGTGCCATCACCATAGTCGAGTGCATTTCCCTCCCCCCACTGTTTTTGATCCCATTCCCCACTCCACCCCCACAAAATGTCTGTGGTATATAGCTGTTCATTATTATTATTCTTTTCTTCGCCTGATCTTTTATGCTCCTGCTATGAGTGAAACCATCTGGTATTTTTCCTTTTCTTTCTGGCTTATTTCACTAAGCATGATCTTTTCCAGCTCCATCCATGTGTTTATTTATTTATTTATTTTGGTTGCTGAGTAATATTCTATTGTGTATATGTACCACGTCTTTTTAAGCCAGTCATCCATTTTTGGGCATTTGGGCTGTTTCCATGTCTTTCCAATTGTAAATAAAGCAGCAATAGACTTGGGGGTGCAGATGTTCTCTTTAAATCAGTGTTTTTGCTCGCTGCTATTTCTTCTAGACCATCCTTCTCTTCACTTTTAGCTTCACACTATCTACGCACACACATAACTAAAAGAACCATCAAGAGTGAAATTATATGGCATCCATATGAAAAAAAATACTTTCTAAACATCATAATTATATTTTCAGACACTTGTAATATGAGGGACTTGTGTGCCACATGTTAACTGAAATAGCATGACATGCAGTCCACATCCCCTCAGCAATGTGCAAATACATATAGCTAGAGAGATGTCACTCATAGGAATTATATCTAAATGGTAGTTTTAATGAATTATTTACATTTTTTCTCTTTCTTTGAGTTTTTAACAAGCACTCTTTCCTCATTTCTCAAATCTTCATTGAGAATCCCCTAAGTGCCAAACAAAGTGATGTGGACTGGGCTTTCATCATTTTTTTATACTCGGGGAAAAAACTAGCCAATTATATATTTAAAAAATAAAAGGGGCCCTCCCTGGTGGTGCAGCGCATTAAAGCACAGCACTGAGAATCTAAAGCTGCTTCCGCATGAGTTCGATCCTTGCCTGCTCCGGAGGTGACCACATGGCGTGGCAGACCTCTCCTGATCCGCCCGCTGCTCCCCTCAGCAGTGGACTTCGTCGATCTGCCTGTTCTGCTCCCCACTCTGTTTCTGGTGAATCCTCTCACCCTCCGCATCTCTGGCCTGTACCCCAGATCTGTACTAATAAATAAATAAATCTTTTAAAAAAATAAAAAATAATAAAAGAAACATTGTTTCTGGAATATTCCTGCTCCTGACTTGATCCCAACCCTATGTCCCTGCTGTGTTCACAGAAGCTCTCTTGTCAACTCACAGGGCTGCAATGTGAGGGAGGTGTAATAGTGTGTCTTTCAGCTCCACATGAATCTGCCTGGCCCAGGAGGAATGCTTACAGTGGTCAGCTAGGAGGAAGTGGCCACAGAGTTTCACGAGGAGTTTCACCCACTGCTTTCTTGCTTCACTCTGCTCACCAACAATTTCCTCTGCATTTTCTATCCTGAAATCACATAAATTCTCCAGATGGTCACACCCCACAGCCTGTGTCTAAAAACTGATCTTTGGTTTGTCAAAGAAAAGGCAACTTTTCAACGAGAGATTTGTGTTGCCTAAGAGTGATTTCACTTCCTCCACAGGGAAGCCCCACAGCTGCTTTCTTTCTGTTTGAGCACCTGCCACCTTCTGACACCAGAGCCAAACCATGAGGAATGACTGAGGCTTGGTTCTGTGTGGGCTGGGAGTTCACTCGGGTGTTGCCAGCTTCCTCATCTCCCTTGCATTCTGGAAGGGGCAGGAAAGCTGGTTTTGTTTGCAGGGACCATTCCCTTTCTTATTTTTTAGCTGGAATCTAAGAAACTAGTCTGAATCTCTTCATGGATCAGAATGATGACCCTGGCATAAACCTGGTTCTGGAAAACCTGGGAAGTGCAGTCACCAAAGTGACAATATTTTCTTTTCTGAGGATTTGAGTCCTAAAGTGAGGTTTTGAGCATTGCTTTATCAGTTCCTTCCCCTCAGAGACTGTTCTTCCCTCCCTTCGGAATTGTTTATATCACTGTGGTTTCTTGATTTCTTTTAATCTTGTGGGCAAAAACAGGGGCCATGTGAAATTCTGATGTTCCCATTCAACGCTAGATCAGAATTGAGCAACCCAAACCATTTTTCTCTTTGCTCTACTAATGCCTTTCCCTCTTCTCTTCCCAATTCTTCTAATTCTCTTTCTCCTCTTCAACTGCTCCCTCCGCTCTTTTTTTCCTCTTTGCCATTTCCAAGTTGAGGCTCATAGGAGAACACAAGTCTGTCATTGAAAGAATGAGATCTGGATGTGGCAAAATCTTACCTGCAGGTTGTTTCTCCCTGCCCCTTGTCAAGGCAGACGTGACTAATCAATCCTCAGTATCATTCTCAGCACAAGCCTCCAGGATATTCTAAGTCTACTCTTCCATCCATTAAATGAATGCTTATTACCATCTTTACATGTCAGGTACTCACTGTAGGTATCCTTTTTTGAAGTAGCCAGTGTCAGATTTATTTCTCCTTTTAAAGACTAGATTTAGTGAGCACTTGGGGCCAGTTCTCCCTTGTTATCTACTCTCCAAGCCACGCACCATGGGAAACTGAGCAGTAAGAACTACCTATTCCCCTTTCCCATCTACCTCAGGTTTCCTAAGGGCTTCAGCCTTATATGAAGGGTGCCTTGTGTTCTCTTTCAGCAGAGAATAGCATAACATGGAGGACTTCACAGGACTGAAAACAGTGGATTTCTCTTAAGTCCTCATTTCTCATTCTCTACATCTTTTCTGTCACATCACACCTCCTCGAAAAATGTTTGAGCAATAGAAGTGACTGGCGGCATTGACTTATCAGTGTTAACTGCTGGAGATTTCATGTTTCATTACTGAGTAACATAAAAGCAATTTAACAACTACTCCTTCTGGCATTTCCCACAGGGTTCTCAGACTTTGATCAGAGATAAAGTAGGTTCACCAACATATTTCCTTCTTTATCTGAAATAACCATGAATGAGTTAAGGTGAAAATAAATGAATTAGATGAGCTGGTTCTTGTATCACAGAATTCTGTGAAACTGAGAACTTTGTGCTCTCCATTGAAATAT